ATAGATGCATGGATGGCACAGAGGTGAGTCTAGGTCACAGTCTTTGGTCTTCCTCCGAAAAGACTTTTGAACCACATTTATGTTATGCAAAATTATTGTAGTGTGTATTCTCATATGTAAATAGTTTTGGTTGCCACTTAAACATCAATACTGATGATATCCAATTGTTGCTATGGAAACTGCAATCTAATGTTGATATCCATTTGGTAGAATATTGATAAAGTCACATGTTTTGAACTAATGGATGTCATGAAGTAGTGATCTTTTCTGCATAGTTGCTATAGACATAACTTTCATCAGTAATGTTGTCTATATCACTTTGGTAGAGAACTGTACCATAACGATAATGTTTAAGAATATCAATTAATGATGTCACCTAACCATGCCAAACATCATTGTCTACTGCACTGCAAATTGGTACTACCCAGGGGGGATTGACACGAGAGGGCGCCATCCGATCTGAATGGAACGTTTCGACGTCAGTCGTCCGTAGCCATCGTCAAAGCAACAACGTCCCGTTTACGAACAGATGAAATAATTTTCAGCAATTTCTTTACAGAATAATCCTCAACAAAACTTAGAAACATTTCATAGACAACTACAGGCTCCAAAATTATTGTCTATTGCAAAACAATTCAACCGACAACCAGTTTGACGCCACAATTTCTTGCTGGAGCCCGAGTTCTACGCATGATTTTATTGCGTTCAAAACTGTTCCATTTCAAACTGCGCATGCACACACACTGTGGTTTCTCGAAATGCATACTAATTAGGTAACTTGTCACTGATAAAAGTCACCGAAAACATTTTGAGCAATTTTGAGCAATAGTACTAGAGTAAAATTTAAACGTGCCTCTGCATTCTCCATGAATTTCGTAACTTGCTATGATCATGGTAAAGAGAAAACCTATGCTTACTTTCAACAGTTAGCTGGAGTCTGATCAAAAACGTGTCTCAAAAAATACCTTTACATCATTTTTCCCGATTATTTTTTCAGCTCGTAACGATAGAATCAGTCAATTTAGAACTAACATGTATGCTATCGGAAAGCATTTTGGCACAATATTACTGAAAAAACGAGTTTTTCATTGCTCATGAATATTAATTTATGCAAATGAGATGATTATTTCAACCAATCGTGTCATGCAACTCCCCCCCTGGTACTACCGGTATGCATAGAAAAGATGGACATGTACCTAACAAAGCAATCTGGTTGGTGGTTTTTGAGAAGTCTAAAATGTTTTTCTAAGAATGGGAAAAAAATATCACAGCACAATCGGGATTAGTAGTTTTGTTTTTAACAAGAAATTAAAAACTTAAAACTTGACAACCGACAACTGAGATATGTATACTTGTTCACTGACACTGAGCTAACAAAAAAGAAGACATCATTTCACCGCTGAACACACACAATTTCAGTTGTTTCACACGATCACAAACTGATAAAATTTATCCCAGAATTATAATTTCTACAGTTCTTTTTGTAGAAGCTGATTTATTTGCCTTTTAACATACTATTTTCATGACCCAATCTGTCAGTATGTATCATAAAAGCATTAAATTTCATTGGTATCTTACGTTAACATTTAATTAATTTTTCATAAATTTAACAAAATTGAATACGCCATTACTATTTAAGTCATGCCCTCTAGTGACGGTGCTAATCAGTGACGTCATGCTCTTGAGTGATTACGATCTTTAGTGACGTCGAAATGACAAATATGGTGCGAGTTGACATCTCTGTTTGGTTGTCTAGTTGTGAATATAATAACATCATTCAAAAATGTAGTCTTCATTGACAGATGACTACAGATCAAAACTACATTGACATTTTGAGCGGCCTTCGTCAATTCACATCAATTTACGTCACAGAAGCACTTCATTGCTAGAGCATACCATTTATAGAAAAGGAGTTTAATAAATTTAACAGATTTCACTTATCTGCAGGAAAAAAATAAAAAAAAAACTCATCGAAAAAATAACCTGTTTCATATTTGGCAAGCCCTAAGGCATGTCTAATTTTTTTTTTTTTTGTATTTACGTAGCAAATCTTGACAAAGACGTAGTTTGCAACTTCAGAATGGTGTCTTAAATCCCCCATCTAATTTGAATCATCGATGGTGGGAAGACACAAATTATCGATTCAATTTGATTCGGAATATTGTTTGTTTTAAACTGTTGACTGAAGCTCTGTGATAGTGGCAAGACCTTATCTGGATACTAGAACAAGACAATAATTGGACAAAAATTATTGGGCAGTCTAAAGTAATAGACCTCTCTCATAGGCATTATTGTTGCAATTGTGAAAAGGTTTCAAGGCGGCGCAACAAGGATAGTCGAGGATAGTAGCGATTACATAATCTGACACTTGTTCATAACTTGGAGATTAACATTATGGTCGACACTTCTCACCCCTTCCCAGGCGCAACTTCTTTAGGCCTAAAATTTCGATAAGCCCAACCCCTGCCAATGTGACACCACCTAATAATGTACTTACAGTACTCATCAAGTGTGAATACTGTATTCACATTAGAAACCTGAATGATGCAGATTAATGTGAAACCTTCATTGTTAACACAGGAATTAAAACAGCTGCATTGAAGTACATAGTGACCCATTCCCTCAATTGTCTATCTATCAGTTAACCCAAAAGGGATGAAGAGCATGTACTAAAACATGTCTCCTGTTATTTTATATTACTGTGATTTGTTATGAATGAATGTAAACACTTGTGTTATATGTGATGTTTACGGAAGTACGTGCATGTGCTAGATATTTGATTTCAGGATATATTACTCACAACAATGCTTTTCACGGTGCTGCACGAGAGCAGACCTGAATTAAAATCAAATACTGTATTGCCTCTATTAGTGATACATGAGCTCATGCAAATTAAATAGATTTTTGTATGTTCAAAATAAGTAATATAATGGTTTAGTATACAGCCAATGAATTTTTTTTGTTTACATGTGCTTATATTGGAGATGCACTTCTAATAGAGAAACTAGCAGCCTGTCGGCTGAGATAGCTCCCCTGTTACCCCCAGTAGCAATGCACATTACAATTAAAGAACTGAAGATATCATTAGAAAATGAACAATATGTATAGTATCAAAGCAATCGGACTTGCTGTTTTCAACAAGAATTCAAAAAATATGATATTCCACCAAAAATGACAAAAATAATAATTGAAATTAGATAGTTGAAGATATCATCAGGATATGAACAAATCTGAGAGCGGTCCACATGTAGTACCTATATAATGTAATATCAAAGCAATCGGACTTGCCGTTTTCAACAAGAATTCAAAAAATATGATATTCCACCAAAAATGACAAAAATAATAATTGAAATTAGATAGTTGAAGATATCATCAGGATATGAACAAATCTGAGAGAGGTTCACTTGTAGTACCTATATATGTAATATCAAAGCAATCAGACTTGCGGTTTTTAACAAGAAGTCGAAAATATCATTTTTTACCAAAAATGACAAAAATATTCACCAAAATTAGAGAATTGAAGATATCATCACAAAATTGAACAAATCTGAGAGAGGTTCACATGTAGTATCTATTTATGTAATATCAAAGTAATCAGACTTGCGGTTTTTAACAAGAAGTCAAAAATATCACTTTTTACCAAAAATGACAAAAATATTCAATAAAATTAGATAATTGAAGATATCATCATGAAATGAACAAATCTGAGAGAGGTCTACCCAAGGTACATATACACCAAGTATCAAAGCATTCAGGCTTGTAGTTTTCAAGAAGACGTAGAAAAAGTAAAACATTGACAGGTGAAAGGTGTGGACCGAATGTCTGCCACAAAAACGAATGATTTGAAATAGAAAGCCTTTTTTATAGTTTAAAGCAAGAGTGTCGTCACCTGCGCATGCGTCAGATGGCCATAGCGTGTCATTGTTTACAAAGAACTGTCAACCGATGAGCCTTTGCGTTTTTAGCGTGTGTTGTTATCGGCGTTTGAGACTCAATTCCCGCTCATGTTGAAAAGTTGATAAATACGTAATGCATTGAGATACCCTTACTTACACTGACCACTATCTTTAAATGCTTATACATGTAGCATGTTATTAAACACATAGAAATTGCCAAAATACTTGCGCATTTGTCAAATCCAACATGACATCACAATGACACAACAACCTTTGTTTGTTCTGTTTGTTTTTATGTTCGATTTCACGCATAATCTGTATGTTGTTTCGTTATTTCTGTTTTCTTGAGTATAATACATACTGAAATTTGTCATGTCTAGCATTGTATCTATTGAAGGTTCAACTACTCCATTCAATTCTTGTGTACTGGAAAAAAAAGTTCTAAGTATGTGTATAGTATGCACTTTATCTTGTGAGTTCTCATTTTTTTCAACAGAAGGATGAATGGCGGTGTTTTATTGGGCAGCCTGCGACCGAATGTACACCTATTGTCCACTCTTACAATGTGGTAGATCTAGAACTCATAGACCCTTGGGTATGCCAAGAGGGAACAGACTTGCGTCTGATTAGAAGGGGCATCTTTAAACCTAATCTCACACAAAAAATTCACTTTAAAAAAATGTTTAAAAAAATACAATGGGGAAAAAAAAATAACATAAACAAAGATTTCCTGGTGCAATTCCTTGGGATCGACAGGTTTCCCTTAGCAGCTAAATGTTTACACCAATCACTGCAAAGAATCTGGTCCCCATGTGGCCTAGAAGTTACTAGTATCTTGTAAAAAGCTATATTCTTGAATAATTAGAGATGAACATCACTTTCCGATAAAACGGTGTAGACGATAAAGTTCCATGCAGAAACACTGCGTCTGAATTGGCATTTGATCCCAACATTGGATGGGCAGCCGTTCCTCGTACCCGTTGAATAGAAAATTAGTGACCCGGAACGACACAACAGTAAAGGCATCCAACGAAAGCGAGACTGTCTTTACAGATTTTACTAATACTTATTTAGCTAACATAATAAATAGAGCTATCGGCCTACCTCATCGTCATGGTCTTCGTCTTCGTCCTGTTCTCTTGCCATGGTCACAGCCCTCATCAATCGTTCACGGTCATCCGGTTTATCCACAGCGTACTCGTGTAAAAGGTCGTCTTCTGTAGTAGCTTTGAATAGGCCAAGGGTGACATCAACGGGAAAATAGTGTAGTAAATCGACCAATTTATTTTTATCGAAAAAATCGGCCAAAGAATTACGATCGATGTCTTGGGGAGGTGATTCAGAACTGTCTTCGGGGTCTTCCACGCCCTTACCCTGCTGCTTCTGCTGGTTATGTGCCATTTTTAGTTTTGTCGCCGATACCACCAATAACGGGTCAATCAGTCATGATTATCACTAGATAATAACCATTTTCAATCGTAATCAAGTGTCCTACGAAAAAAGATGCATGTGTTTTAACAGTTACTGCGGATGTCCCAGTAAAGCTGTACATATCAAATGTAGCACAGTGACGGCCATGTTTGATGTTGTGATTCAGCGCAATGGATACTGGGAAATTCATTCCGTGCTCAATAAGGAACATACCATTAAATATGGGGGTGGATTCTGTAATTAAAGTGGTTTATTTATTTATTTATTATTTACTTATTTACTTATTTATTTATTTAATTATTTATTTATTTATTACCGACAACTTTTAGTTTTTAAACAAGTTTAATAATAGAAAAATCGATAATTCAAATAATAAAAAGTAAGATATACGTAATACAAATAGGATAAAATTACAAAATAATAAAGAATACAATATAGTAAAAATTAAATTAAATATATGAAATAAAAATACACCTCATACAACACAGCAGATTTTAATCGGGTTGTTGTAATAATATATTGTATTTTAGGCCAGACTTTTATTATCTCTTGTTTCGCGAACCCGCCCAATGAACAGGAGCCGAAAACGAAAAAAAAAATTATTTCAGCGTAATTTCTTGAGAATCACACAAATCTAATGGAGAAAACGAATTAATTTTATTTTTTTCCGCCCTCCTAAAAAAAATTGCCTTATAAAACTCGAGAAACAAGGAATAAATACAGTCTGGCCTAATACTAAATAGGTAAGTATGTCCACAAATAGTCTGAAAGTATCATGATAAAAACAAAACAAAATAATTCACACCCTGGATAGTTTTCTTTCAGTCCGTATTTCCGACATCTGCGGTAATTGGGTGAATGTATGTATTGACAGAGTTCTTTTGGTAGATAATCTTCCGTCTCCAAGGTAGTTCCATGCACGGTGACAATATTAGTTTCGGTATTAAAGGCGGATATCTTGAAAATGCCAGGTCGATAGATAAGATAATGCCTTCTCAAATGAAATTACCGGAAACCGTTTTAGATCTAATAAGTATACACGCCACACTCTGTATTACTTGTCTGAGATGGAACTGACCTTCAATGATAAACACGGCCCCCTAACTCATTATTGTCTATTATTTAGTAATCTTTTGCACGGTTAATTTCTCATTACCCAATCACAATTTCGACATTTTATGGCGTATATATTGGTCAGGGAGCGGTACATCCATAATCTCGGCGCAACAAAGGCATTCCCTTAAAGCGCGGTGGTCGTCGCGCAGCACGTGTTCGACTGAATTTCATGTAAATAAACAATGTATTTTACACGCAATGTATACGTTGCTATGAGTCCCATATCGAACAGGACGCGGCACGACGACTGCCACACTTTAATCTTTATAAATATTGATAAATTTAATAATTGATAATTCTAAGAATTCAGTTGCTCTCGTACTTTTGGATCTTTCAGCCGCTTTTGATACTGTGAATCACAGGATTCTCATCGATAGGTTGAGATCAAATTTTGGTTTAAATGGTCTCATCATCAAATGGTTTGAGTCGTATTTGAGTAACCGCATTCAAAAAGTGAAAATTGGAAATGTATTTTCTGATATGATGTCTATATTAGAAACCGGTGTTCCACAGGGCTCCGTCTTAGGGCCATTATTGTTCTCAATGTACATGCGTCCATTGGGCGAGTTATTGCGACGTCACGGCGTAAAATATCATTTTTACGCCGATGACACACAGATTTATTTATCGGTTTCTGAAGATGATCAAATTCGCGCCCGGGTGATACTTCAGACATGTATTCAAGACGTTAGCGATTGGATGTCTTGTAATTTCCTACTTTTGAATGTGTCGAAAACTGAATTTGTGTGCATGTCGTCTCGGAGATTCTCACAAGACTCGTGTCCTTTGTCTAGTATCGCAATTGGTGAAGAATTGGTTAGTGCTTCGTCAAGTGCTAGAAACTTAGGTGTCTTGTTTGATTCGCAGCTATCTATGGAAACACACATTTCTACTAT